ACCAAACATCAGAGCTTCTGAAAAGATTAGGTAATAACTGTGATTATAAATCAAATCAAAGATGCCTTTGTCATTTAAAGTCATTCATCCATCAACCTCTTAAATCTGAAGTTTAAAACACCTTAAATCAGACATTTTATTTTTGGGAGTTTGGTTTGAATTCAATAAAATTTTCTTTTGTTTTTGACATTACCCTCTGGAAACTCAGGAAGTGAAGTAACAAAGCCATAGGAGGAGAAAGATTTACAGTATATTCACGTTGATAAACTGCTTTTCTACCTCAGTCTTTTATCACATTCATTCAGACAAACTTCTTTTTCCACAACATATTTCGACTTTGCCTTAACAGCCTACGACTAAGAACGGATTTTATATAAAAATACGTTGACTGAAAACTGAACTGTGAGCAACAGAAATAACAGTGATTTACATTCCCACGATTGTCCAAACGTCCAGAGAGAAAATGGCCGACCATGTTGTCCTGTACTCACTGTGTTGAAGTATTCATTAAAGTACACACACACAAATGTACTCTCTTGTCATATTTGTGATATTTAACCCCTCAAATAAGTAATTATGAATTATCCTGAGAATAATTCATTTTAACTCTAAAGAACTGTAGGTATGTAAATGTCTCAAAGTAGTAATAATAATAATTAATAATATCTTTTTGTGGTGATCTCAGTGAGTGGCGCGACTTTGTGTCTGTAAATAATTCCCTATTCCTAGTTTCTGGTTCCTTTTTTCTCTGAAAACCAGTTCCACCCAGCGGAGTGCTGATGGAACTTCTTTTCTGAAGAAGATCATGAGACAGGGGATCAGGTTCCTGTTTCCTTGACCAAATTTGATAAAGCTCGTGAATGCTGAGTCACAGCCATGACTCTGCAAAAAACCACAGCTGGATCAGGCGTTACTCTCGTACACGGACACTGTGAAGCAGAACAATGAGCAGAAATCATTCTAAAGCTGAGAATATAAATAAATCTAATAAATGTCTGACATTTCAACATCATGTGATACTTTTTTGACCCCTGGTTTTATGGGAATTGTAATAAAATGTAACTTGGCAGCAGAAATGGAGGCGTTGTTTGGATCAAAGGTCAAAAAAACACAGTCAAAAGAGAAGAGAGAGGGAAAATATTGACTTCTAATGTCACTTCAGTTTACAATAATTTGATAATGAAAAAAAGTTACTGTTAGATTCTATGATGGTGAAGGTTAAATACATAAATGACTATTATTAGTAGTAGTCGACGTCTCATAATTGCGGAGACTGAAACCTGTTGTGTTTACAGTTGATTATAAATCTAAGAATCTGTTTTTGTGACTTTATTTTCTTCATGTTCATGTGTTGGTGGTTGTTGTGTAACTGTGTGAGCCAAGTCATAAAAACTACCTTTAACTTCAGTCAATGTTATCAGCAGGTCATGTGTTGTGTTCATGGTCCTCGAGTAATCAAACACTTTAATTGCACTTCTGCCCCAGTTTTAAAAAGAATTAATTTAAAATTAGAAATATGTTTGGAGCCAATACTTCTATTAACACAGAGATTGTAAAGGTTTTTGTTATTTATTCTTTTTTAAAATAACATGTAGATAAAATATTGTCACATTTTTTTGAAAATGCATAAAAAAACGCATCCTTTTTCCAGAGAATTAATTACAACTAACAAAGTGTGTTGTAATATGGACTTTTAAAAAGGGAATAAACTTTATATAAATGTAGTTTTTGACAAAACAATATTTTGCAAAGTCATTGCCATTAAAATTGCAATATCATCCTTCGTGCCTTACAACTCACGTGATCACCGAGCTCAGCGATTGGCGCAAATGTATAACGTGACGTCTCGCCTGTCACGAGGTCTACTGTGTGGTATAAATACAGGTCGCCTTCAGCTGCCATTTCATATCTGGGAAGAAACACAGGAGTTCTTGCTTCAACAGTGTTTGAACGGAACTTCTCTCTTCGTCCCGCGTTTCATTTCAACCATTCCGACTAGATACTCAACAGGAAACCTTTCCTCACTTGAACACTACTAGCATCGTTCGTAGAGCTCTATTTTTGTACCGTTTTTGTTAAGAAAAAGCGTCGAAAACACCAGCCAAGATGGAGTCTCAAGTGCGTCAGAACTACCACCGTGACTGCGAGGCCGCCGTCAACCGGATGATCAACATGGAGCTTTTCGCTTCCTACAACTACACTTCCATGGTGAGATGGAGCGACTAAGTTAATAGTTTGTGTCACAGGAACGTTCTGAACTAAAATGAGAAAATGATGAACCGTTAATTCACTGTGTGACGTCAAAATATCGGACTAATGTCGTTAGGTCGACACATAATAGAGCTTGAATTATTATCGTCTGTTTTTCACTGGTTGGCAGTTACACTGTTTGTTTGTTTTTCTGTTGAGTCATGCTGCGTTGGTTTGTTTGTTTTTGTTTGTTGACTAAGTACGTTTTTTAGTCCTGACCCGTGTGTTTCACCACAGCCCGGTGTCATAACTACTGTTTGTCCTCTAATAACAACCCCCGTGTCCCGTGTTTACTTACAGGCTTTCCACTTCTCCCGGGATGACGTGGCCCTGCCAGGCTTCGCCCACTTCTTCAAGGAGAACAGTCATGAGGAGCGGGAACACGCTGAGAAGCTGCTGTCCTTCCAGAACAAGAGAGGAGGACGCATCTTCCTCCAGGACATCAAGGTACAGTGTCACTGGGCGACGGCATGTTTACTGTTCAAACAGGAGAGGAACCACACATGGAGTTGACTTTGAACAACAAAAGATTTGACCTTAATTTACCTTCATGTTTTGTTGTTTTTTTTCTTCCACAGAAACCTGAACGTGATGAGTGGGTCAATGGGCTGGATGCCATGGAGCACGCACTGCAGCTTGAGAAGACCGTCAACCAGGCTCTGCTTGACCTGCACAAGTTGGCCTCAGAACATGGAGACCCTCATGTACGTTGTTGTTTTGTTTTGTTTTTTAAATCTTTGTAAAATGCTTCGACACGAAACAGGAATTTCAACTCTCACGATGTGTTTTCACTAAATGTAACTTTCTTGTCCCTCAGATGTGTGACTTCCTGGAGACCCACTACCTGAATGAGCAGGTGGAGGCCATCAAGAAGCTGGGTGACTACATCACCAACCTCAAGCGCTTGGATCCCGCCAACAACAAGATGGCGGAGTACCTGTTCGACAAGCACACCCTGGACGGTGGCAAGAGCTAAACATGGATGCATTTAAGTTTCAGCCTAAAAAGAAAAATTAAAATATATTTGGCTGTATGATAAACACAGGCATCAGCTGTTGTTTCACTGAGTGTAATCATCATTAAACATGCTCTAAAGTAACGTTCTGTGGTTGATCAGTTCAACTCTCCTCCTCATCGCTGTAATCCTTCATCCTTCAAACTATTACATTAAAAAGAAACAAAGATTGTTAATGTCATCTGATGTCATAAATAAACATTTTGGGCTGGATATCTGTGTTCTCTTTTCCATTATTTCATATATATAATATAATCGGTTAAATATTTTTAAAATATATAAATTACGTCAAATGTTGACCACGCGATGGCAGCATTTTCTCAGTTACAAGTATTTTCTATCCAGTGAGGCGACTTCACAGTATGTTTCAATACTTGAGCGACGACTAATGATGACGTCACATGTTCAAAATTTCTCATTTAAACGTGGTAATCCAATAGATTATAAAATAATTTCACCTGAGTCTCAGAAAGTCCCCGTTCACGAGTGATTCTCCACATCGTCACGGCTGAGGACTGAGAAGGAAGTGAGTTTTCTTCCCACCGTGGACTCACAGGAAACAGAAATAAATCAGATAAACATCCATTCATATTATTCTGTAACAGATGACAAAATAATTAACTCTGCTGGACAAATAAAACAGAATAATTAGTCATTTATCACCAGGTATGAAACAGTTGACAACAGTGAGGGATCGAGTGGAGATTAACACAGGAGGAGGAGGGGATTAGAGGGGGGGAAGGGGGAGAATTCTGCCCCGGGGCATCTCTGTGGTCAGTTGTGAGGAATTTGTATCAACACTTGGATGCAAAATATTTACAACTTCAAATACAAACAAGGTGAGTTCATGTCTGATTTCTCCTCAGTTTGACGTCATCTCTGAATCATCTTAACTGTAATTGTGTGCATTTTTAATATGTTTTTTTGTTTTTTAAAATAATGGTTGTAGGATATATTTTATTTTAATTACCGTCTATTTGTCTCCACACCTAATTATTACATGTTTATCAAAATATTTTAAAAGAGAACAATGACCTTTATAAAAACAAAGGTAACATTTATATATGTTTATATATGTTTTATATATATGTTATATATATATATATATTTCTATTTTTTGAGTCTTTGATCACTTCACAACCACCGTCTTATTTTATTTTATTTTTGACAACAGTTTTCAAGTCCTGCACAGATTAGTTTTCATGGATTAGGAGACTTCTGTTCACTTCTATTTCCAGCTCTCACGTGAATTCACCTGCACTGACGCTCGGTGTGAAGATTCACAGACGTGTTCACAACATACGCTCTGAAACAATAGACTGAGTTGTAGATTCAAGACCAACTGGAGCAGCTCCACCGGTTGATTACTTCCAAACACGGTTCCTCTGAACGTTCTTATATTAGCAGCTGGAAATACAACTGGAAACATAGTGGATATATGTCAGAGCTCCGTGTCCACACAGAGTGACCAGTGGGTTTTTAATCAACAAAGAGTTCTGTTTGACCTTCACATACATCAAAGGACCCCCCCCACCACAGACCCCCCCCTTTAATCCTCTGCTGATGGAACACAGGGGTCAATTCACAGTTTAACACATACATATGTGATGTGTCTCTACGTCGGCCGTGAGGTGAGGACAGGAGACGAGGGAGCAGGGGGTGAGTCAAACTGTAGGTAATGTGCTTAAACTGGGGGATTTAGTGGATTAATCTTATTATATCTCTGTGGAGAAACAGAACTGTTGTCTCTCTCTGTGTGTGTGTCTATACCTGAGGGGACACACCGTCCTTGTGGGGACATTTTCCAAGATTCTGTTTGGAGTTAGGATTAGAATGAGGCTCAGATTAGAGTTAGACGGTTATTAGTTAGTCCTTTTGGGGAAACTGCCTGGGATTTTTCTTCTGGTCGTCTGGTTTCACCTCATTGTCCAAAAACCAGGTGTGTTTTTTGTTCTACCTTGTTCTCACAGGGCAGTGATGCGATTGGTCGGCACGGATGGAGCGCGGCTCCGCAGGGCAGCGGCAGAGGAGGAGGAGAGGGAGCGACCGCCGCCTCCTCCTCCACCCTCACATCACTCCAACCACCAGTTTGCGAGCATGAAGAACAAGTTCTTCAACGAGCTGACACACCTGCCAAGTGAGGAGACACACAGATGTGAAACGTATAGAAAATACACGAAGACATGAATAAAAAAAGATGACAGAATAGAAGGATATTGTGAAACATGGGCTAAATGAGCTGCAAAATGATGCAAATGTAATGAAATAATTAAAAATAAAATGATTTAATGAAGATGTCACTAAAAACGTACGTTAACTTAAAGGTTAGAAATTCTTCTGAGCTCTCTTACATGTCATTACGGTTTTCCCCTCTGACTCCGTTTCATTTGTCCGTCACGTCCTCCATCATCCGTCCACTCTGTTCTTCAGACCATAAACTCAACAGTAAGTGGACGTCACCGTCGTCGCTGCCCCAGCAGCAGCAGCTCCTCTTCTGATTCTGTCCTCCTTTTCTCTCAGTGCCCATGTGGGCAGTGGGCGCCATCGTGGTGGTGGTCCTCGCTCTGGTGGGCTGCATGTGTTTCTGCATCTACAAGAAGTGCGTCAACAAAGGCAATAAGCCCAAGAAGGTCCGGGAGAGGAAGGCCGGGCGAGGGCGCAGGAAGAAGGAGACGGAGGGAGAGGAAGGAGAGGAGAAGAAGGTAGGACACAGAGGACGTAGAAAAGTAGCTGAAGGAAACTTCTAGTTCCATTTACAGGAGCTGCAGTACAGCAGGTACTTTGACACCAGTACAGAATACTTGTTAATGTTTTGTTGTTTCAAAGTTGAAACGTTCGATTTTAAAAGTCTGACCAAGAAGTACAAATGTTCGTCCTTCAGGAAGGAGAAGAAGGAAAGGAGGAGGAGGAGAAGGAGTTCCTGGGTAAACTGGAGTACACACTGGACTACAGCTTCACTGACAACCAGGTACGAGTATCCACAGCTGTAGTATAAGAAGTACTGCAGTACGTAAGAATACAAACAGAGTATTGTTCCTGTGGCTTGTTTTGGCGTCGACACACTGAGGTCACTTCCTGTTCACCTTTCCCAGCTGATCGTGGGAATCCTCCAGGCCCAGGACCTGGCAGCCATGGACATGGGCGGCACGTCCGACCCGTACGTCAAAGTCTACATGCTGCCGGACAAGAAGAAGAAGTACGAGACCAAAATCCAGCGGAAGAACCTGTGTCCGGTCTTCAACGAGACCTTCATCTTTAAGGTGTGGACCTGTCAGACCGTACTCTGGGTGGTTTTTCTCCATCTTCGTACTTCAGACTTTTCTTTTTTCTGACTCTGTGCCTTCAGATCGCCTACACAGATTTGGGAGGTCAGACTCTGGTGCTGCAGGTGTTTGACTTCGACCGCTTTGGGAAACACGACCTCATCGGTGAAATCAAGATTCCCATGAACACCATCGACCTGGGACAGCCAATCCATGAGTGGAAAGACCTGAGTGGAGGAGAAAAGGAGGAGGTACGTGCACCGGCCTCACCTCCAGCTGTGTGTGTGCTGCACCTGTAAACACTGTTGTTCTTCACAGCAAGAGAAGCTGGGCGACATCTGCATCTCCCTGCGCTACGTTCCCACGGCGGGAAAACTGACAGTGAACATCATGGAGGCCAAGAACCTGAAGAAGATGGACGTGGGAGGGCTGTCAGGTAAACTGGGAACGTCAGTGTTGGCGGCGTCTTCACTGGTACGCTCTGGTCAACTGCCATGTCTCTGCCTCAGATCCCTTCGTGAAGGTGGTGCTGCAGCACAACGGGAAACGCCTGAAGAAGAAGAAGACGTCGGTCAAACAGAACACTCTGAACCCGTACTTCAACGAGAGTTTCAGCTTCGAGATTCCCTTCTCCCAGATTCAGGTTAGTGAACGTGGACTACCGCTGTGTTTTACCCACAATTCCATACCTACAACTAGTCAACAGAGGAACCCTGCTAGCTGTGCTAGCTCCACAAACACAACAGATGTAGAGAAGAAGAAGCTCATTCTGGGATGTGGGTTTTAGCCCCATCTCTGGCAGCGGTCGTCACTGCTCTTTGAAGGTGTGGCCGTCTGTAGCTGCATGGCCACACCTGGGGTCCCCGACCCTTATGTTGTTGAAGAAGAAAAAAACACGTCACAGTAAAGAAACATTAGCAGTGAACGTTTTGGCTGTGACGTCTGTTATTCTCCACTTCCTTTATGAAGACATTGACTGAGTCCATAAGCTGGTAGAGTGCCCCCTGGTGGCTCATTCTCTTCACCACTGATGGATTCTTCTCTCACAGAAAGTCCAGCTGCTCATCACCGTGTACGATTACGACAAGCTCGGCAGCAACGACCCGATCGGGAAGTGTTGGATCGGCTACGGCGCCTCGGGCGTTGGCCTGCGCCACTGGTCAGACATGCTGGCCAATCCTAGACGTCCTGTGGCTCAGTGGCACACGCTGCAGCCCGAGGAGGAAGTGGACGCTGCACTGAAGGCCCCCATTCGTTAAACATGCGGATCACACACACACACACACACACACACACACACACACACTCCGTATCCTTACATCTTAATATATTTACAGGTTTTGTTCCAAATCCAAATGAACAAATAAACAAAGTCAAAGGAATTGTTTGAAGGAAAAAAACAAAGAGAGAATTCTGGGTTCACATTTTTACTGAGTCACAGTTCCAACACTTTACACCAGCAGGAGAACAGGAAGAAACTAAAACACAGCTAAAAAAAAAATCACAAAAAGATTAAAATCTGTAAAATATTCAAATCATCAAACATGATGTGATTGTTGTTTAAACACGATGAGAAAAATAAAAGACAGAAGAAGAAGAAAAAACATACACCTGACCCCGATTCTCTCGTTCCTCTGGCTCCCCCCTGTGGTAATAAGTGCACACTTCAAGCTGACGACACGGTCAACACAGAGGCGGGAACATTGAACACAGACTGAGATGGAGGGAAAAAAACAAAACCAAAACTCTGTACTTTGATGCTGAGGATTTTCTGGAGAAACTTCCAGAAGAATCTCTTTATTCTTCATTGGCTGCCAAACAAAAACCTGACTGTGACGTCATCCCCTCCTCCAGTTGGTTACATAATCTGGATTATAGTCTGTCATCACACAGCCTCCTCCTAATCTG